TATGGGCCTCTCACTGCTGTGGCCTCTCCTGCTGCGGAGCACAGGCCCTGGACGCGCAGGCCCAGTGGCCACGGCCCACGGGCCCAGCCGCTCCGCGGCATGCGGGATCCTCCCGGACCGGGGCACGAACCCACGTCCCCCGCATCGGCAGGCGGACTCCCAACCACTGCGCCACCAGGGAAGCCCAAACATCTGCTCTTAATGCACCCTCAAGACAGGGTAGCTGGTTATTGTTGTTATTATGGCAGATATTCAATAGAATCAAGGTATTGTCCCGTTTAAGTTGGGATCACTTAAATTTAGTTAAATTTCCCCAATTAAACTCTCAACTCTCAACTGACTCTTCCAATGGAGAAAGGCCAGGAGCATGGAGAGCTGATCCCTAAGGCAGCTGAATTTGGCTTTGAAGGTGTCATAAGGTATTTTTGCAATCGTGATATCGTTCTGTTTGCCTCATTCTAACAATGAAAGGTATCAGTATTCCCTGAGTACTTAAGGAATGGTGATTAAAGGGAGAAGTGCCATTAAAAAGACTTGAGAAGCAGAGAAAAACTAACCTAGGATTACATCTTTGCTCATAGAAAATATTACAAAAGAGATCATTCATAAATGATTAATTGAAAGTCCACTGTATCTTTTCCCTATTCTTTCCAGTACCACCAAATTTTCTTCACTTTATTGAAATGCATCTAGAATAATGCAACTCTTGGAGAATGATAGATATTTACAGCCATTTCCACTTTACAGGTGGGAAAACTGATGCCTAAAAAGGAGCCTAAGGGATGCTCTGGTTAAGTCAACTGCTTATTAAGGCACAAGCCCTTGGTCAGTATCTCCCAGCCTCGTCTCACAAATAGGACACTTGTTAAAAATGCAGATTTCCAATTCCCGCTCCACCCCATTCCTCCCCACAAAATTCTGATTCCAAAGATCTGGGATTGTGGCTGGGAATCTGTTTTTAATGACCATATCATGGGATTCTCAGCAGGGACAAGACTAGAGTAAGGCAACAGCCTTGGACACAAAATTTAAGGAGATGTTAAAAACTCAGTCAGCAAGATAAGTCAGAGTTTAGGGCAATACTCTGAAAAATCAAAATTCATGCAAAAAATCCACGATGAACAAAATAGCGCAAGTTTGAATAAAGAGCGGATCAGCAGCAATGCTGTGCCATCTTGGAGTCCGAGGTGAAAGGAAAATCCGCAACACTGGTCATCTCACCCTGGGTGGCCCTGATTCTTATCAGCATACCAGCCTGGGAAATCCTGTCCTAGATAGTTAGATTGCAAGTCTGTCTCTTCTCCAGGAGACACCCCCCTGCCTTTCCAATTTCTAAAATAATACCTCTTAATTGCCGGTTCTTGAGAAAGGCTGATCTGGAAGCAATCAAAATCTTTGGAGGTAGGACCTGGGATTCCAAAACTACACCCAGGAGAATTCAGATGCACAGTCAGGTGTGAGAAGCACTGCCCTAGGTGAGCCTCAGGTCTCCCTGGGAAAACCGAGAGACAAGTGGTTTACCGGAGCCTGTCGCCTCCCTACCTTCTCTGTGTCGATGCCTCTGGACATGGACCAGGTAGACACGATGTAATCCATAACGCGCTCGCTCAGTCCCTTGGGAACCTGGTAGAGCTTCAGGAAGTCCCGGACGCTGTTGAGCATCTCATGATACCTGTTGGTGTTGGCGTACATCTGCTGGAAAATGGTTGTCACATTCCCGAAGATGGTGGCATACAGAAGTGCTAGAGAAGAGAGGCGGAGGAAAAATATACATCAGTGGTCCTTGAACTAGGGCCCAAGAACGCCCAGCTTGCTCAGAGCAGTCCAATGGTCAGAGCTGCCCACCCCATGGCAGATGCTTCTGACCTTCTCAGAAGAACCTCACCCCATGAAGCCTCTGGGAGTGGACCCAAAGAAAGAGTCTCCAAACACCAGGTCACTAGGACAAACTTGTGGGAGGCAGGGCTAGGGTGGGGCAGCTGGCACGACTGGGGCCAGAAGTAGGAGACAGACAGCAGTGGGGGCTGGGGACAGGACAGCTGGAGTGCTTCACTGTATACGTTTCATCACAAAAAGCTTGAGCCATGCCTGAAGCCATCAGTCAAATGTGTTCTTATGTGCTCTGGACCAGCCCAAATCCAAACCTATCAGCAAGCCATCTTTTTACAGCCCTGCTATGTGCCAACTACACTACCTGCCAGAGACAGGATGGGGAATGTGCCACTCAGTCCAGGTTCTCACACAGCAAACAACGTAGCAAACAGACTTTAAAAATGTAATCACAAATAATTAAATAATAGCAAGTCTGCCAACAGCATTGAAGGATGTTATATCTTTGCTTTGTAGTTATTGTTAAGGTGCATGTCAACACAACAATCCACTTCACTGTGATGTGGCTCCTGGGGAAAAAAGCATGGCTTTGATATGAACAGAATAAACTCAGGTCCCCTGGAGATGTAACAAGCACCTACTAGATGCTACTGCTGCTCCGCTTACATTAGTGTCATGAGGAAGGACCATTATGTCATCATAAAACCCCACATTCTACATGTAACCCCCATTTGCCCTTGAATGCTAAGCTCAAGTGCTACCTCTTCCAGGAAGCCTCCCCAACACTCCTCCCCTCCATCTGCCCCCCTGAGGGTGACTGCAACTCCCCAGGCATACAGATCTTCCTCGATTTACGACAGGGTTACATCCCAATAAGCCCATCATAAATTAGAAATATCGTAAGTCGAAAATGCATTTAATACACCTAACCTACCAAACATCACAGCTTACCCTAGTTACCTTAAACACGCTCAGAACACGTACATTAATTAGCCTACAGTTGGGCAAAGTCGTGGAAAACAAAGCCTGTTTTATGATAAAGTGTTAAATATCTTATGTAATTTATTGAATCCTGTATTAAAAGTGAAAAACAGAATGGTGGATCCTTGTGATCGCGTGGCTGAATAGGTGCTGCAGCTCACTGCCGCTGCCCAGCATCACAAGAGCATGACATACTGCATATCACTAGCCCAGGAAAAGATCAAAATTCAAAATTGGAAGTACAGTCTCTACTGAAGGCATATCGGTTTCACACCATTATAAAGTCGAAAAATCCTAAGTCAGAGACTATCTGTATTTCCACTGAGCTCGTGTTATAGACACCATTTTGCAATCACATTCTTTCTTTGCCTGTGCCCTTACAATAGGCTTGAAGGCTGGACTCAGCTTTTCCTTGCCATTGCAGCCAGGGGAGCTAACGCTATACCAGTACCCAATAAATATTTGTCATATTAGTGAATTTCACATGCTTTTGCTATGCCTGACTTTAAAAATGAGTTACTATATATATATATATATATATATATATATATATATATATATTTATTTATTTATTTATTTTATTTTTTTATTTTTTTATTT